GTTGTGGCTTATTTGTCTCAGCAGATCAGCCTGCTATGAATTGGCTTTCAGTTCAGAAGGAGAGCTGGGAGATAAACAGAACTGAAAAGGAAGTAGCACTCCCACAACGTCAGCCATATCCAGCATCGGGAGGAGCAGGGATTTTCTGGTGTGTGAAACTGCCTAGAGCCATAACTGTGACTGAGCTGTTTTATCAAGCTATTCAGTGCAAAAACACCTCAGTCCTCCACAGGTTCAGCCAGCGAATTTGGTTGGCTGCTATGTTAAATTAAAAGGAAACATGCTCTATATTGAAGCTGAGATGTTAAATGCAAGAAACTAGGGTCAGAATGAAGGCTTTAAATAGGACAAGGATTTCAACAGGAACCACTAGGCATTGCTGAGTAGTCTCCTTGTGACTTGTGATGTGCTTGGGATGAAATTTTGGACATTGATATACATGGCTTCTTTGATTCTGTACAGCTATTTTTATTTTTTTAATTAATAATAGCAGCTGTAATGTTACACAGGTTTCTTGCTGCACAACCTTAGTGATAGGTGTCAGTTTATATCTCTTGGAGAACAAGACTGTTGTTATAGCTCCTAGCTAAACGTGCAATATATGCTGTAAATTGCCTTTATTATACGCTGCTTAAATATCTCATTGTCTGCTTTGCATACAAGCAATTTATTGCTGCTTATGGTCTGTCAGAATGAAAACTAATGTTTAATTATGCATTGCCACAGTAATGTGGTATTTAGGGTGAATGTTTCTGAATTAAATAAGGGCCATTAATAATTCCTAACAATTTATGATATATTCATTGCTTGATTTCAAATCATATAAATTAGAGACATTATTTGAAATGTCACCAATATAAGATGGTTTTGTGGGAGCACCTCTCTGTGTGCTAATTTCAGAATCATTACCAGCTGAGTCTTACTATTTATTCAATGTCCAGTAGGCTTTTATTATTCCCTTATTTGTAGTTTAATTACAACCTCTGTTTTCCTGACAGTGTGAATTCAATCTTAAACCTGCAGGAGCAAAATGAATTGCAATCAGTCGGTTTTTGCCTGAAAGCTTCCTTTCACTTCGGCCCCCTCCCACCTGCCATGACCTAGCCACAGCTATGAACAGATCCATACAGCCATGATTTTTTGTGCTTAAATGTGTTTAAATGGGCGATGCCAGTCTAAGGCTTTTTAAATTGTTCGTCCTTAAGGCTTGTAAGTTGTGGCAAATGTCTCAATCTCACATAACCACTTGGTTTTATACCAATATCATAGAAGATGTTTTGATAAATTAAAGGGAGGTACGTGTCACTAATCTTGTGTGCACAAGTTTATAAATGTTATTAATAGACATGAAGTATTTATACAAAATATGTGTGGTTACTGTGCGACTAAAATCTTAGTAATTTATATTTAAAGTAGTCTCTAAAGCTATTGTGGGATTTACATTCCTCAAAGATAAAAAAGTTGTCTGTTTCAAACAAGACAAACTGCAGCAAATTTTTACCTTGGCAACAACAAATCGGAGCAGTTAAAAAGCTGTAGGCTACAGGATTAAAAGAACTTTCCTGGTAAGATGCACATGCATTTATTGTAGAGATGATATAAATGTTGGTTCTCAGAACTAATTGTAATTAAATAAATGTTTAATCCTGAGTCCTCAGCAACAAGTCAGTCCTCTGTCCAGTGAGCTCTTTCTGCTTCGTTTATGCATCTTGGTTATCCCTTCTGGAAAGTTATTTCTTGCTTATGATTTTGTTAGCTCAGAAGTACTCCTTAAGGGAAAACGAGTATTTATTTCTTATGTGATTTTTACAGCTCTTGAAAGACAGTTACTGTTGTAAATGGGAATACTGACCTTTCATCCTCACAGTCACATTTCATCTGCTATTGCTAATGGAGCTAGCTGTATTTAATGGGTGACATGAAGAGATGCACATAATACTTGCAAAGGTATCACATGTATCTTAAAATCTTCTGTCACGCTTGACTTTCACACACAGAGAAAAAGAAGCTAAATTTTCATCTGAGATGAATTGGAAGGTTCAAAATGTCATCTGCGTTTCATATTTAGTGTCTTTCAGATGTGACTGTTTCTTTACATGATGGTGGCAAAGTGGAGAATTGATCCCTCTGACCTTTCCCTTTTCTTTTAGCTTTCCAAGAGCTGTTTGTGGAGGAGTTCTGGATTGTTTCTTCTCCCTCCCCCCCACCTTAATGTGGTTCCAGTTTCCACCAAGATCTAATGACACGGGTATTCCTTTCTGTCTTGTGTGCACTTTCCAACCCGATCCCATCAAATCCATCCAAAAAATATTGTATTGCACAATGAAGCAGCCCGTATACTTGAATGGTTTGAATTAATTGGTGGCCTGTGCTACTGCAGCATGGCATTACTTAGCTGCTGTACTATGCCAAAGGTCATTTCTGCTGTGTGTTCATCTCATACATCAGAGTTGGATGACTTAAAAAAAAAAAAAAAAAAAAAAAAAAAATCTCCTAAACCTTTTGTGAGTCTGGGTTTTTTTTTGCCTAATTTGCTTGGGCCGGGGTGAGGGGAGGGAGGAAGGTGGGGAGGGGGCTGTACATTCAGATTTTGTAGGGAACTTCTCAGAAGTATTTTGGAATTTTTGCTTAGAATAAGAGAATCTCTGAAGTATGCAAATATGAGTGTATTATTGCACTATGTAGATGGTACTTATAAGGCCTGTAGGTACAATTATAACTGTGCCATTAGAGCACAAATTTTAATATTTGCAGCATGCAAGCAAATCTGTAGGTGGATCCAGAGAAGCTTTACATTGGCTATTTAAGAAAGTGAATACATGTGAAAATTTGATCAATGCAATTTTGATAACCAAAAATCCAAACTTCCATGCAAACTTGCTGTTATTGTAGATAATTCAAGATGTGTGAATTCAGCTTTATTGACAGTATTTAATGGAAGATGTTCTTGGAATCACTTCTGGCTAGAATGTGCATGCATATAAGTCTCTGCTAGCCCTTTTTCAAGCTTGGAATTTGTTGTATGATTTGGCAATCTGAAAGAGTAGGTAATTCTGTATAAGCAAATCTAAAGTTTCATATCTCTGTGCAATAACTTCTCCCTAGTTTTATTTGTACAACAACTAGACTAGTCTTGCTGACTCATGAACCTGCCCTGTAGTTTCAGGGTGAGATTGATGTGTGGTGATATCAGCTGTAGTAAAGTGCATGTATGTTAGCTATAGTGATTTTCGATCAGTGTTTTGTTATTTTATGTCATATTTAATGAAGTGTCAGCATGTTTTATTTGGTTTATACAGCTGTGTTTTCAAAAATTTACTGGAGTTTCTCCTTTGGAAGGAGAAAAGAGTGTTCCCCTTACATTCCAAGGGGCAAAACACATTCAGCCCATCTCAAACATTTTTCTGTTTCCTTTCTGCACTCTGCCATATAACTGCCATGCTTCTATAATTTTTCAGGGCTTTCCAAAAAAGCATTCTGTAAAGTCAGTTCAACAGATTTTATCAATTTTTGTGTGGGATTGCAGGGATCTAAATAATAAAAATGAGACATGGCAGGAAACATTACTGGGGCTTGAAAGTACTGAGAAGTGATGAGTGGCTGACCTGCCTGCTTGCGTTGGTTTCTTTCCTCTAAGAGCTAAAAGGCTTCTCACTGTTTTCTTGTTTTGTTTAACTTCAGTTCTGCAAAAGGTCATGCTTGCAGTGAGTGCTTTTTTTTTTTCCTCTCATATTTATAACCCGTCACTGCTTCTGTGAAGGTTTCTCCTAAAGCCTCTCTTAAGCAGGATAACATTTATGGACAGCTAACAGCTTCCTGCTTGGAAAACAGTGTTGGATAAGCAGTGCTAAGAGCGGAGGAGCACCCCTGTGTTACTATAGCCACCCCTGGTGTGCCTTTCTATTCATATAGAGTGGATTTTCACTCTAAACCCTGTAGAAAACTGCTGAGGCAAAATGTGCTCTGCATGAGCAAAAAGATTTGACACAGTAAATCAAGATGTGTGACCAGAGTGTACGAAACCGTAAGAATGTAGGTAAAATGTATGTCACGGGTATTCGGTGACTGTTATTGTAATGGGTATCTCTCGTTCATGATTTATAAGCACCATTGCAAGCTAATAATTGTCTGTCTTGAGTTTATCATGTTTTAGTTAATCTACAGTTACTTCAGTCAAATTTAATACATGGAATAGTGAAAACATGCCTACAAATTAGGTGACAGTAAAGTTGTCTACATTTGTTCATAAAGATGTGGTCAGATATGGATTTCAAACGTGTGAAAGGCTAATCTTGGGAAGACTGACAATATTTATTTCAAAGCTAGAAAGAATAAATATATGGTCCCCAGAAATAGAACAAAATAAGCAAAACCGTACAACTTACTTCTCCACCTGTTTCAAAGCAAAAATTTAACAATTTAAATCATTTGTCCAACTTGAAAAAATACCCGAATGCTCTGACTTGCAAAAACTTGGGTGAGTTCTGCACTAATGTAAGAAACGAACCTCTGCTTATTGAGCTCAAAGTGTGTGCATTCACATGTAAGCAAAATTTCACTTTATTTTCTGTGAATCTTTCCAGACACAGATATGTAGGACTACTTCATAAACTCCAAGGGTAAACAGTAATTTGAAATAATGGCATTTGAATTGTCTTTGGGAAGTGTAGCTCAATTAACAAAACAAGAACAATGTGTTGGGATAGAAGACCATTTTGCTGGCATCCTCATCAACCTTCCATAAAAAGTACACCTCCAGTGTGCTTTGAAGCACTTTTTTTTTCCTTAAACTAGTATGAATATGATTTCCCAAAAGTGTCAATCTTGTGATCACATTTAACCTGAAAAGAATAGAACCGCTTTTGCATTCTTCTTTTACTTGCATTCACTCCCAGGACACGTACACAAGAAATAGCAGAATGAGTAACATTTTTGTAATGGAGACAGATGCACCATCTTTGCAAAGACATCAGCAACTAAATATATTCTGTTTTCTCTAGATCAATGAACTGAGCCATGTTCAAATCCCTGTTATGTTGATGCCAGATGATTTCAAAGCATACTCAAAGATAAAGGTGGACAATCACCTTTTCAACAAGTAAGTACAAGTAACAATTCTTTGTAGAAGTGGATAGAGGCAGTCATTTTTATGAACTACTATGAACTCTGTTATTTTTCAGTTCATGGGACTGAAGTTTTGATGATTAAGTTAATCCTGTGATAAACACAACCATCTGTGCTGTTCTGAAAAGCAACAGCAAGGGCTGCTGGGTAGTATTTTTCCTCCATCTGGTTTATTATTGCCCTATCACTATCTTACATATTGACAGCATCCCTTGTTGGTGTGATTATTGATGGCTGATAGAAGGATATATTTGGGTATTTTTGAAAAAATAAATTCATGTGCATATACTTGTGACAAAGTGACATATTTGAACAAGAGTGAGAATGTAAAGCATATTTCAAAGCTGAATGATGTTCAGCTTTTTATAATCCATAATGCAAAATCATACCAATCATATAGAAATATCCAAAAGTGTTAAGATCATTTCATGTAATACCTACATCTCTTGAAATACTCCATGAACAGTATGTACAGACATAAAAAACTGTTAATGCTGTGTGGTGTATAACCCAAATTTTATTCGGAAAAATGTAAAAATTCTGCTACTTTGGGTCTTCTGTTCTGTGGCAAAGGTCAAAAGAACTTTTCTCACATAAGTAAGTCTGAAATTAACACTAGGATGTTAAAATTAGCTCTGTACTGAATGAGTCAAATTTTTTTGAAGCTTTGGCACTGTCAGTACTTTCTGATGACACAGACGGAGTAGTAATTCTTGTATAATCCACTCTAAGATTTCACCTTTCAAGTAATTGTAGGGTAATGGGAAAGCATTCTTTTCTGCTTTTAAGTCAAGGTGGCAAAGTCATCAATATATAGTTTGTGTTTATTTCATCCAGTTATATTGTAGCTTGTTAGAGACTAATATGTATACATATTTATGAAACATTGTAAAGAAAAAAGAACATGATGAGACCAGATCTCATTTAAAAAAAAAAAAAAAAGGCAAGCATTAGAAGTGGGATTGTGCATTTCCTTATCCACTCCTTAATATGAACAGAATTGAGGCAGAATACTCTAGAGTTAATTATTACATATGCAGGTGAATGAAATGGATTTGGTTTTATATTTTTTCAGAGAAAACATGCCAAGTCATTTCAAATTTAAGGAATATTGTCCAATGGTTTTCCGTAATCTAAGAGAGAGGTTTGGAATTGATGATCAAGACTTTCAGGTAAGTTTGCTTTCAGAATGCCTAAACTGGTGATATATACAGATTTAAGAAGTTAGTAATTCTGTGGTTATGAACAAGCAGGCCAATGTGCTGAAATAAAGTTCCTTCCCTTAGTTTTTCTCCAGTTTACACAAAAATCCTTCCCCCACCTGTAAGCAGAACATTTCTGTTTTACCTCTTTGCCTGCCCTACTTGTCTTCTGATTCCTACCCTTCTGCTACCTTTAGTCCTCCATGTTTCCCATTATAGTACTTCCTTGTCATAAGCTGTGTTATTAAAACTGCAAGGTGATAACTCCTGCAATTGGAATTAAAAATAATCTGTGGACACTACTGACAAGAGAAGCTATTTTCAGGTGGGTTACTTGGGTAATTCAGTTGCTTCAGTGATGTGTATATCTGAGATGTGGTTTCTGAAATGACCACAGCCTTTTTTTTTTTTTTTTTAAATGTTTTTTGTTTAAAGAGTGACCTGTGGGCTGCCAGCTTCACACTGCTTCATCGTGTCTCCTTTTCCTGTTGTTAAGAGGATCTAGAAACATTGCTTGCATAGAGAAGAAACAGCAAGGCAGGAAACTGCCCTAGATTGGGCAGGATTGTTCCTTGCAGCCAAAGCCTCTTTCTGTCTTTGCAAAAAGAAAGTTCTTGAACTCTGCTTTAGTCTGATTTGCTAATACTCACTGACAATTTGCTTTTCCATTAACAGTTCCTAATGCGCACTGTTTCAGTCACAGGGATAATTCCTTCTGCAGTCATGCTGCAAGATCTCCTGTCCTAAAGAGCACTTGCTGTGTGACGTATTGCCACTTCCTGTCATGCTCTTTTGCTCTTTTAAACTATTCTGATGGGGACTGCAATTGTATTTGTAGCCTGTTACTAAGATATATTAAGAGAAGATATTTAAATAGATGGTTTCAAGTAACTAAACAAATGATACAAAATGCACTTGTACAATAACATTCCTATTCTTGTTACATAGAGCAGACTAAATACCGCAGCCAAAAATCTACATCTAACTCCTTCAACTATCCTCTTTACCAATTTTGTCCTTTTCAGTATCAAGCAGTGTGCTATAAGTGCATAGATGGGTCAAAACGTGCCTGCAGGCCTGTAGGTGAAGATTAGGTTATGGATCTTGGTGTATGGCCACTGTAGCTTTGCTGAGACACTGCCAGTAGGTGGAGAAGAGGGTTGGGCTGGTTTCTTTTGGTAGAGCTGTCATGATCCTATCACATGATTTTTCATTACCTTGTTTACTGAAGAACTGTTTAAGGTGAAATATGCCAAGACTCAGGCCAACAGTTAGAACAGTTATATCAGCTTGTATTCCTGGTTCAATTTCCTTGGTGGACCAAAGAGGATCCTATTGTCCAGGAAGTTATTTGATCCCATTATATGGAGATTTCCTCTTCCTTGACAAAGACAGAGGATTGATGTGTCAAAGAGGAAAGACATGTGATTGCTTCAAAACTTGAGATTATGCTGTTGGCTCCTGCCTGATGTGTTTTAGAAGATGGAGTGATTACTAACCAATCAAACTTACGTTTCAGTAAATATACATTAGAAGACTTAAGATGCTGTCATGAGTTGAAGCTGGCAAACCTAGCATAATCAAAAACTCTGCATTCCACAGCACTCTAAGCATCTGCACTGCTGTTCTACAACAGAAATTCCTGTTGTAACTATGTTATACTGCTCTTTGGATTTATTAACGATAACAATGGTATAATAACGTTAAAGGACTGTTGCTAAATAAAATGTCTGTATTTTCAGATTAAAACAAAAAATATTTGTTTGCAGTTATGTGTTTGTGGATTTATTTTTTTTTTTACAACATAACCAAGCAACAATCTGAAAGAAGAAAACATAATTACATCCTGGTTTGTTATTCAACAAAATCATGCATTAGTTAGAGAAAAATCTTCAATGTTATTTAGTATTTCAAGTGTATTTAGTGATAAAAAGAAGATAGTTAATACTAATTTCGTCCCAATGCGATGTCTGCACTCACTGTTCTTCATTTTCCGCAAGCAATTTGTCACCGAGTTCTTATTTTACTGGACTGTTCTGATAATTGTATTACTACTTAAAGCATTTAAAAACTATATTTTGAACAATTTCTAAATTAAGTTACTTTTGCAGGAATACACAAACAGAAATTCAAGTCACCACATGTGTAAAATAGGGATTATCCCTATTATGTGTAGAAGTTGCTTTCATTTTAATGTTACATTTTCCATTATATAAAAAAGGAGTATAATGTGGCAAAGGGAGACTCACGTTAGATACATATTTTCAGATAATCTTTGTCTACGAGGAAGTTATTCCAGTGAATGTTGATTAAAATAATTGTCTTATATGTGGAGTCAAACACGAACTGGAAAAAGCCTGGGCAGTATTGGACTGATGGAAAGCTTATGAAAGAGATAGCAAGTAACTTTCTCTGGATAGTTTTTCTTATATAATCATTTTCAGCAAGGGAGTCCTAATCAGTTGTGAACAGTGTCATTCCCATTATTGAGCAAGATAGGATTGGTTTAGATAAATAAACCAAATTACCTTGTTCATTAGACAAACACATCAGTTTAAATCAGGAGAGCATTCATTTAAAAAGCTTTTGTTTTCAGAATGTTCTACAGATATCCTTAATGAGTTGTTCTAGAGGACAGATAATGCTTGCTCATAAGGAAAGAGTAAAAAGAACTCCACCTTATGAAAATAATTTGGCAGTATATGCTCTAATTAGCGGGCTATACTAATTTTAGTTCTTGACACTGTGTTATTCACTTTGTACAGGAATTCTGTGGACTGCTTAACAGATAAGTTTAACTCACATATGGAATGGTTAATATAGGGCATCTTCTCTTACAGAGATCTCTCTTATCCCTAAAGAGAGATTTATATCTCAAAGTACAGCTTTTTTCCTTCAAGTAGTGTAGACTTCAGAGTTAGGGGAATTCCTTAAATTGTATATCATTCATGCCTTGCAGGAAGCCATTTCTAGTACTGGCAATTACAATTCCTATAATGGACATCCTCCCTTCACATGATAGAAACCAAATCCTCTTTTTGAGGCATTTTGGCAATCTGTCCTACATCTCTCTGTCTGCTAGTTGGGCATCTCTGAGAGGTATTTTGATTTAGTATTGAACTAGGACCAAAATGTTAAGGAGATACACGTGTAGTTGCTAAAACTGAGTGGGCTTTTTTTGGTGATTCATTCTTCATTATGGTCAGCAATGTGGAAAATACAGTATGAAGTCAGTTAAACCTTGAGTTTTATTCAAAAGTTGCCTATAGAACTTGTTAGGACAAATTAAGTCTTCAATCCAGTTTAAGAAACTTTGTACTTACGTAAAAAAAAAAAAAAAAAAAAAAAAAAAAAAATTAGACCCTGATCTTCCTTCTTGGTGATCAAATGTTACTAAGACATTTATTGCATCAAATGAAAAAAATGGCTGTTTTTTCTTAGAAAGGGGAATATAAGTAATGACTAGTCAGTATGAATCAAAATTGTATTTGAATAGTGGAAAAACTTTAAAGCCATTTTAATCACTTATGTAGACTACAAATTATCAGAGAGATTATTATTTTGCTTCTTGTTGTTGGATGATAAAAGTACATATGAATCTCAGATTGAAGATAATTTTTAAAGTGTCAGTTCCACAGGCCAGAGCATTAAATAATGGCAGATTTTTGCCTTGATAGGGTAAATTATCTCAATCACGTATTTTTGGTTTTGTCTTCTTGTTTCACGGAAAAAGCATCCTTAACTCTTTAAGATCCTCAAATGTTGACAGGAAAATACTTGAGAGCATTAACTGTTCCTAGCAGAAAAGAAAAAATGGATTAGAAAATAGATGTCATAAAGTAAATCCCTCACTCAAGTCCTTAATTTTTAATTTCTGCATTCCCCCTCAACTTTAGACTTTGGTTTTGCAAAGATTATTCTACAGAAAGGCCTCTTTTTTTTTTCCCCAGAATATCTGGGGTAGCTGTTGTAGCACTGGGAATTTCTTTTCAACTCAGTTGAGCTTATTTCTTACCTTAAAAAATCCAAGAGTACAGTTCTGTGAGAAGAAATCTAGAACTAGCTTCTGTAAACTGCACAGTTATGAGAGATGAACAGGCAAGCAGCTATCTTAAAAGCCCCCAAGAAACTCTAGAAAAATGGAATCTGCTGCTATTGCTCTGGAAAAGGAAACTTATATTACTATGCTCCAACACATCTGGTCTTGCTTAAAGTTATTGCTGCGTCCTACATCTGCATCCTGCTAGGCAAAAGAGGGAGACTGGGTTCTTGCCTGGTAAAATACAATTGCTCATACCAGAGGGCACCAATGTCCCAGTGTACCTAATAAACCTTCTGCTGGGGACAAGAGAGAGTACAACTGTTAGCACTTAGTGTAGTAAGAGACATGCTCAGACCTGACTTTGCCTGCCTGAAGGAGCAGTTTGTAGAGGTTCTCTGTACAGGCCAGAAAATTCATAATGAATTTTTAGCAGATATTCTGTAAGTTTTTTTAATTTGGAGATGCTTTTATTATTTCTCTGTGTGCATTTTTCCATATAGAACATTGAAATCTAAATTGAGAATTCCTGCTTTTAAACATTTTCCCTGATAACAAACTCCATGAATGCAGTATCTTTCACTTCTGATATGGATGTCTCCTTACATTTCGGTATCTCATGCAGCTTTCTGTACAGAAAGATTTATAGTCCAGGCCCAACTATGGCATCAGTAAAGCAAATTCAAAGTTCATTTTTCAGAAGTCAGCCTTTAATTTTCTTTTTAAGTATCTAAACTGCAGATCACTAAAATTTTTGTCAACCTATGAATATTTCTGCTCATTTTGTGTGACATATCCAATCCTAAAACATCATATTAAGAGCTCAAGAACTATTTTACAATCTAAGATGATATATTTCTTCAGACAAACAAATATTAACCAGAGCTCGCTGCTGGTGTTTATGTGCTGAAACTCATGCCTCTGCTTATTC